GAGACACTTGGACTACTATCAGGGGGCTTCAATGACTCACCAATACAAAATGCTTAAAGAATAGTCATTTCATCCCTAAACTACTGGCTTTGACATAACACTCTCTCAAAACAACAAACAATTGGCAGACATTTTCCCATTTTGTGTCATCCAATTAAAAAATGTGCGTGAACATCAGAGACAGATATATATTTCAATTTTGATCAACTAAAATGCCAAGTGTTAAAAACTAAAGATCAGTTCCTCTTTCCAAAACAATTACTGGTGTTCCATAAATAGTCTTATCTACATTGCTCTTAACCCTCCCGTTGTCCTTCGCATTTTGTACACACCCAGCATCCTAGCAACAGGTTTACATCTTGTCTCAGAATCAGAGTATGAGAAAAAGTTGTCACAAGCCGTGCAATACAGGATACAATACACACACAGACACACGCACACACAAAGGCATATTATCATCCACCGGGTCACCTAGACCCAAAATACAACACAAGGGTTAATTATTTTATATATATTTATGGTAGTATTTTCAATTTGTGAGCTAAAAACCTTTATTGTGAAACTTATACAAATACATTTTTGTGAATCCCACAAAGAAAGTGTATATTCTTTATTTTATCTAGATTTAATTGCGTTAAATGACTACCTTTCTGTATGTTTATACTGTGAAAAAGGGTTTTACAAAAGCTAAACAACACAAGTCATTAGCACGTATAAAGAAGATACGGACAGTGATAGAGCAGCTGATGTAGCAAACACATAGCTTCTCTTTTATTATTTACAGAGGGTTTTTTAAGGCTGTAAACATTTTAGTAAGGCTGTCAGGAAACAGCTAGTTTTTACTTCTGCTTTCTATTCATTAAATCAAAGTGATTTTAACAACGTCTCATTTCCTGTCGTGATTCGTTGTCACAGTACATGCACACTGCACATGACACTGACATAACATACTGTATATATATATATATATATATATATATAGACATATATATATATATATACATATACACGTACATATATACACGTACGTGTGTGTAGATATATATATATAAACCATATATATAATGGTCCTAAAATTTCCCATTTTTAAGAAATAAAAGTGCAAGTGTATAGTAACATTCCAGAGAAACAATTCCCATATTGTCCATAATGTCAAACATGTCAAACATGAATAGTAAAACACAACTAAGTAAAACCAGGAGGTTGCTGAGTCATGTTCAGAGCAGTGAAACTGCAGAGAAACATTAGCAGCTGGAGTTTAATTCCAGTCAATTCCTCACATCAAACCTTCAATAAGGATGAAGAGAAGAAGACCAAAAAGAACCACAGTTTGTGTGTATGTGTGTTTTTGTTTGTGTACATGTTTGTATGATAAAAGCAAGACAACATTGGCACCAACCCTGGGAACAAGACGTGCCCTAATTTCCTTCTCCTCCAGCACATCACATCGACTCACAGCCTAAGAAAGACCCCCAACCCCCAATGTTGAGTACTGCAGTGGTGCAAGCACACAAAGACATATAGACAGATATTCACCAGCAGAAATAAAAATGCTATTAGGTCAAATGTGCATTTGATGAATACCAATGCAGAAAAAAACAGATTAAAGTTGACAGTGCTGCAGGTTTTACATCACATATGGACACACTCTGGCTCACACTCTGATCTTTGTTCAAATGTAATGTATGCAGATGAATTCCTTCAGACAGTGACGCCGCGCTTTACATTCACTAACAACTTCCTCTATTACCACACAGGTCTATCTTCTATGTATTTATCACCTATAGATCGTCTCGGTTCCTCCCTGGGGTAGTAGAAAATAACACCATCTCTGTTTTTCAACACAATTTTCCAAAGCAACAAAAACAGCCACCACCTCCCTCACTCCGCAGACACAAAACGTTCCCCTCTTTGTTTTGCCCGCAGGACATGCACTTCTCCAGCTCTGGAGCTACTAAAAGAGGGCTTGCTCCCTCCATCAGCCATAATTGAGAATTAGTTATGGTGCGCTGTGCATTTGTGTATGTGTGACCCTCATCGATCAGCAGAGCTGACAGCTAAATGGCTGTCATTATATGTCTTATTGCTTCCCAACAACACAGAGGGTGGCTACATAAAAAAACAAAGACAAAAGGTACAGGGGACGAAGACAGGGTGTGTTGAAGCCGCACGGCATCGTTGCACAGTCCGTCACTGGGAATTCCCTTCACACAAGCCTTCAGTTTGTCGGCAGCTTGTTTGTGAGGTTGCTAGGGGCACTAACTTGCAATTTGAAGTCAGAGTAAAAGCCTGTAAAAGAGCTTCAGCTATTATCAGCGCAGTGATAATTGGTGGATGGCTGTTTTTAACCTGTAACAGGCCACATATAATAGCACACACGTGTCTGAACAATATGTTTTCAAGGTCAAGGATTATACTGTATTTAGGCCAGTCTTTCAGCCTGACTGTTGTCTTCATCCTGTTGACAATTTTTGCTCATTTTGATTTCCTTCACTCAGCAGCGTATACAAAAGTCAAATTGTTATTCAGGGCAAACTTTTATTTGATAAAAAGCTATAACCAAGTCGAAACAATGATGAAGTACTAAATATTGGAATGAGGTACTAAATGAAAACGGGTTCCTGGGCGCCCAACTCTCTGACAATTAAATTGCATTAAGACTGCACCCAGATCAATATGTTTATACAAGAGCTCGGCATAATGCCCTGTCGTGCACCATAGAGATGAACGTCAGTGATAGAAGATCTCATTAGCATTACATTCATCCATCTTACTGTAATATGATTTTCCACATGGACCTTTCCATGTTTCCTCTGAATTTGTTTCTGTCCTAAAATGACACTGTACCACCAGTACATTCAGCGATGACTCAGCCATGTGGATACATGTCAAGGAATGCATTTTATCCACATTATATACACCATTTCCACACCAATTACACATTTAACTAACCATCTGCAGCCCGAACAGGCTTCTCTCATATCGCATGCTCCCTAAAACTCAATTTCATCGTTGAATGAAAACGATCTGCCCGACTGAGTGATGTCATGGTTGTGCCGCACAGATGTGCACATTTGTGTAGCCTATTGTTGTGTCTTGATAGCAGATGATGGGGAGACTGAACAATTCCCTAATGAAGGAAGCAGCACCTTGAGTGCAGCAGCAGCAGACAATGACCTCAGTGAGAAAAACGTGTAGTTGACAGCTGGGTGTTTGGACTCAATATGCTGCTACAGATTCACTGTTTTAGTTTAGTTTGATTCAAGGGGTGTTGATAAATGATCATGACAGAAGACTCATTTAATTAGCAACAACAAATCTGTTTGACTTATGATAAACGTCATAGTTGCAGAACAAAATTTTTTTGGTCTGCAATTTACTTTTTCTGCTTTCTGCTTTATTTTTTATTCATTTTAAGCAATTTACTAACAATATTAGAGGGAGTTCATTTTTTAAATTTGAAATATATTCATTTTTTAATGGAAAACATCACAATGTTTTTTTGCAAGGCAGGGGGCGCTAGAGCCAATCCCAGCTGTCAACAGGTCAGGGTGGGGTGCACCACGGACAGTTCACTAGTCTATCGAGAGTTATTAAGACACACAACCATTCGATCAACTCAACCCCTGATGAGCATGTTTTTCGACCACGAAAACCAGAATACCTGAGGCAAAGCCACACACACAGGAAGAACATCCAAACTAGAGAACCAAACGTTGCATTAAAACCTAATAATGCCATGAATAAATATCCAAAATACCACACACTGTGTTTGGCTTGAAACAAATTTCCACGCTTTCAGCGGAAAACACAGCAACGTCACGTGTCACTGCCGTGTAAACTGTCTGAAACACTGTGTATCGTTTCCCCCTCACAGCAGCAACCTGTAATTAGAGCTTGTCTGACTGATTGAGTCGTGTCATGATAGAGGTGAAGCAAAGAACCATACATTTGTACGGACTAGTTTAAGCTGCCCTTGAATGACATCTCACATATGCACACTATACACTATACGTATATGTATCTGTCAATAAGTAAATTACTTAGGTCTTATTTTAGTAACATACAAACAGTTTAAATCCTACGCGTAATTAGTAACAAAACTTTAGGGGTATTCTGGGTATATTTTTCAGTTCTGAAAAAGTCATTTCTAAGAGGAGCAGCTGTTTAGAGGGGGTCACAACCTGTTGCAAATGATTAAACTCGGGCTTTAGCAGATGCCAACATTAACCAGGTGCTAAACTTTTTCTTTTCTCTCCTCCTGAACTCAGTAAAATGTTTACTGTTGAATCATTTCCAGATCAAGTCCACAAATGTGGACCCATCTTTACAGGTTTCCATCAGCTGACAGAGCGGTGGAGTGTGGTTATGGTTTTATGGGACAGACAAAAACACGAGGGTGGAAAGTTCAGGTAAACTGGCAAGTGGCTCTCCACTGAACTTTCCAGGGCTAACCCATCTGGGTATGAGCAGTGTAAATAATACAACAGCTATCAAAACACAACACAATCAACAGTGTCAGTGTGTGTTCAGTGGTGGAGATGGAAAAGCTGTCAGCTTTGTTACAGATAAGCTTTCATAAACAAAGAAGTAATGAGCATTTTATAAACTGAGCCTTTAACACAACATGATAGATAGATAGATAGATAGATAGATAGATAGATAGATAGATAAGCATAATTAGGATTATTATTAGCATTGAGATATAGGACATGGTAGCTGTTAGCAAGTTAGTTTTACAGCTACTGTAGTAGTAGTGTAGTTGCAGTACATGTATTACTTTGGCTCAGGTATAAACTGTATAATGTGTAGAAACATTGCATTAGTGGCTTTACATTTTAGATGTGGCTAGCAAATGCTGCTTCAACTACGTCTGGGTCAGATTCCAGGAACACAGACAGCTCAGCATGTCTAGTTATAGGCATACAAACAGTTACAAGCAGAACTTTCAACCACTTTAGCAAGATATCTGAGGCTGAAGAAAAAATGTAGTCACTTACATTTTAATGCTTGGACGAGTGCTTTTCCATCCTTAATCAGATCCTTTATGAACTTGTTGGTTCTGTCCAGCTCCAGTTCATGAAACTTGAGTCTCTCTCTAAATAGTGGACTGTCCAGGTAGCAGTCACTGAACTCCAGGGCAGGAAGTCCCATCTTCTTCAAGAACCACTGTTATCACTCACACCTGTCTTGATACAGCAGTGGACGAACCGGTAAAACTGGGCTATTGAAGACAGACAATAACAATATTGTTGTTACTGTTGCTGCTGGTTGTGATGGAAATCCCAGTTACAGCATGTAAACACCAGAGCTGGGATGTGTGCAGCAGCAAAACAAATTCCAAAAAAACTTCATCTTATAAAGGTAAACAATCCAGAGCACACCAGTCTAACACGACATCCAAAAAATATCAAATAAAAAGTCAATGCATGTTTGGAGGAGCTCAAAGAAGAAATGTCCACTTGCTCAAAGAGACCGGTGCTGCTGCATTCCTCTTCACCATGTCATACGGACCCGAACAGAGTCAACAACCAAAAGTCGGGAGGAAGGAGGGATGAGCGAGGGATGGTGAGAGTTAGAGTAGGAGAGAGTCTGCAGATAAAAACAAAACTGCAGCCTTGTAAACGCCGTGTCCTCCCTGGGCGGTTTTTTAAATATACTACTCTCCTCACTACCCCGCTCTCCTCAGCTCTGCAGAACAGCGATCACCCTACCCCAGCACGACTAAGCCTCAGATTGACGTCTACATGAGCCAATCAAATGGCCAGAATTGAAGGCTGACCGCGCGAGCCGGATGTAGTAGGAGCTACTCTCAAACAGAGATGCGTAAAATAAGCATGATGTCTCACCCTTGGCTTGAAACTGTTGGCCGAACAACATTGTACTTGAATATCAACTCGGCATTTACAGTTAAGTGTAGGAAAATATGATAGATAGAGTAAAATAAGGCAAGTTAAGATAAACAATTAAACCCAACGGGTTTTTTAAATAACACATACATTGTTGTACATGGTAATTAACTAACAGTATGCACAACATAATACGATGTGCACGGCTGCCTTGGCTAGAGTTTTGTATCTTTACCAGCAAGACGATCTTTACAGACAGCGGTTCTGAAACCTGGTTGGTGGGAAGACAAGCTGATGTCATGTCAGTCAGAGCGGGGAATTTCTGCAATGTGAAACTTTAAACAAAATACTTCTCTGGCGCCCTCTGTGGACACAACACAAGTTATTTACGTTTTGTTTCCACGCCACTTGAGCAACATTTCTTTTGTATTTTACTTTACTTTACTTTATTTTTTAATTATTTTATATTAAACGCAATTCTATTAGGATTGTAGCTTTTCAATGCTACCATATTATTGTTATTGTTGTTGTTATAGCTATTGTTAGTAATTTATTAAGAAACAGGATGAGCTGTCAAAACTGACCTGGCCTATGCTAATGCTGTTACCTGTCATGCGGCTCCAAGACACACATATGCAAAATCAAATAATTTTTCTCACATCTCAAATATTAAGCTACACCTGGTAAAAATTTTTTTTTTGGACAAACAGGTTTGCATTTTATAAACTAAGATACATAGTAAATTACATTATTTGTTTTATTTAAAAAAAGCTTTTTATGTTTTTTTTTTTTTTTCAGAACCCTTGACTAGAGACAGGGCCACTTATATCTTCTTTGAACTTCCATTCCAGTTCTAAAAGGACTGAAGGGGAGGTGATGTAGAGGATGTTCTTTCTGGTATCCAGAGACAAAATATAAACATTTACAATATGTTATGCTCACCATTGTATCCAGGACAGCAGTGTATGTATTAGAGCTCAGTCGAACAGGCAGCCGGCTCATTTCCAGCCTCTGGCTGAGTCCCATGGACTGGACACTTCTGCCTCTGTTTCTGTGATGGTTTTGACATTGCCCTGTTAAAATAGATGCTTTGATGTTGTCTGAAGGTTTGTTGGGAGAAGAGACACATAGAATGCCCTGGGTTTTACTCAAAGACGAAGGAGAGAAATAGAGAACAAGGAAGGATCAGGATCGACGTGCAATTGGTTTCTAAAGGTAAGTAACTGGTGTCTTATTCCTGAATTAAAGACACATACAATAGGCCTGAAGGGACATGTGATTGAAGGGAGGTATTAGTTAGCTAATTTAAAATTTTCTTTTGTTGTTGTTAATGAATCAGACAAAATAAATCCTAATAGCACATGTGAGTTAAAGACTAAAATCCAAATCAAACTTTTGTATAAGGTCCTCAAGTGTCAACAAAAATAGTTTGACTTTTTTTCTAAACTTGAGCACAAACAACTTCTCACCTTTGCGTCTCCCAAATGTACACACAGGTTCACGGTCTCTCCTCCCACGCGTATGTCTCAATCGCCGGTTTAGGTTTTTGACATCATTCTCACAGCCACTCTGTCCGAAGGTCCCCGTGCTCTGGCCTGCAGTGACTAATGTCTTATGTCCTGTTATACAACATTCATCTCCAAATCCCAGTCTCAGGACAACTGACTGTGAGTGGCCTCACCTTCCTCCTGCTATCTTCTTCACCTTTCTGCTCTCTTTTGTGACAGAAAGAAACAATAAAAAATAAAAAATATTTAGATAATAATAATATATAGAATAAAAATATTATGGAAAACAATAATATTTGATTTGTGATGTCAAGATGTTGTTTAAACTGTTACTAATGTAAGGTGAGAGTTACATTTTGTCGTCTGAAAATGATTTCAATTGAAGAATCTGTGTGGCGTTCAGTCAGGAAACATGTTTGGTCATGTTTCAGCCCATTCTGGCATATTCCCAAGTCTGATGCCATAGATGGAAGTCTCCTCTCTCTCTATAAAAAAAAGAGAGTTTGCTTTAAAATGTTGCCAGTACAAACCGTTTTCTTCCTGACATCTGCTGTCATCTTATCTCTACATCATACTGCAGGTAAAAGAGTTACAGGGTGAAAACAGAAGAAGCCTGTTGCTGCAGGCACAGATTAAAGACTCCACTTCAGGCTCAGGCTTCAAACTGTCTGAACAATGTCTGAGAGAGGTTTCAGAGGGCTGCCGTCTCTGGATGTGTCCAGGCAGCAGCAACAGCACACACTGACCAGGCTCTACAGCCAGAACGGAGGCTATCACTTGAGGATTACGCCAGATGGCAGTGTGTGTGGTGGGAGGCAGGAAAATGATCCTTACGGTGAGGAAGATGTCTTGTATTTATTTTAAGAAATAATTGACAAAAGTCAGAAAATTAAACAACAAACAAACTCGAGTTAGTCTTAGGCTAGTCTTAAAAATAATTTTTAAAATGTTTTTCAAATAATCATTATTAATTGACATAAATTGAACAAAAACTACATTTGATTAATTTTTACTACTTAACTTAACAGTTTGGTTTTGAAAGCCCTAATACAGAGTTGTCAACGTGTTCCCAAGTTATCATTGTAAAGCTATCGTAACTAGACAACTGGACTTAGACCAGGACCGTCCAGTTGTCTATTTCTGAACTTCTTTGAATAAAACGACCTGGACTGCAGGGAACATAACAACCATATAAAGCTAATGTTTTTGTTTCGCAGACGTCCTCAGACTAAAGGCAGTGAGTGTTGGAGTGGTGGTCATCATGGGTGAAATGACAAAATGGTTCCTTGCCATGAACAAAAGTGGACATCTGTACGCATCAGTGAGTCTCCAATCGTTTGTTTGAGTCATTAACCTTCCAAAAAACCTACAGTTCACTCAATTCTGTTTATTTTCCTGCATCAGCAATCGCCGAACGACGAGTGCTTCTTCCTGGAGAAGTATGAAGAAAACCACTACAACACATATCGCTCTCAAAAGTACAACTGGTATGTGGCACTGAAGAGGAACGGTCAACCCAAAGCTGGACCAGACACCCACAAAGGACAAAAGGCGATCTTCTTCCTGCCCAGGCCTGTAGGCAACATCTGAAGCAGACCCAGCCCGTCAGTGTGTACCCATATGGGTTCATTAATGCCACAGGGGTAAAGTGTGAACTGTGAACCGTCTCAGAGTATAACTTCACATGGATCAATAATGACGCCATTCAGAGAAGCCATAGTCCAACATCATCAGTTGGAGTGTGGAGGAGAATGCGTGTATTAAATTTGTCCACAAGGTGGCAGCACCAATCCGATTAGAGAAGTCAGGCTGGAAATTAGGACAAAAAAGCTCAGTGTTTTAACGTTAAAAAATACTGTTAAAAATGTTCTTCTGCCAAAACAACTAAGCAAAATAAACAACAGTAGAATCAATACCTCCATTAGAATGAATATTTGTGTATACATGTTCTAATAAAACTAAAACTGTAGCTAAATATGAATACAAATATCAGCAACTGTAAGACTGCTGAGGCTAATGTTGTATATGTAGGCCTTGTCAGAGAATAACATTTTTCACAGGTGCAAAGAAGACAGTTTAAAGTCACAGTGTTAGCTACCTCACGTTATTTGAAGTGAATGTTAAGCGTCATGATTGTAATCAATAAAACCTGTGGTTATCTTACCGACCTACTATGAAAAAAAACCCAGTTAATATCAAAACGAGTTCATCTCAACACTGGATTCCACTCAATTTACAAATCTAGACTATTTATTGTGTGGTGTGTATTTCTAAATAATTTATGGAGACAGAAATAGTGCTGAAAAACCAGACACCCTCAAATGTTGCATTTTTAGCTTAGCAAGGTTTAAGCTACTCAGATCCTCACACATTAAAATCAGGAGCTTTGTGGAGTCCAGAGAAAAGAAATAAATGACAATACAAATGACACACAGGGTTTACAGGTGTTTCCTACTGATCCAGTTGTGAACGATTATCGTTACTGTAACTGATTCCTGCTCTGTACTCGCATGTACATGTACACGCAGCTGTGAGAGATAATAGCAACACATTGACCTCTGTTCACCCCCGATCGAGCATTTTTACCATATTTTTGGAAGCAGGGACATTCTTTATTTGATCCAGACCTAATGTCTAATGGCTGAAACAGAACATCGCCTGAAACGTTGTTTCAGAGACTGCAATGCCAGGAAAAAAAAGCACTTGGAAGAAGCACTGGAACGTGGTTTGAGATGTTTGGGAGGAGTGGAGCTGATTCATGGCTTTGACAAGATCCATTATTGTGGTATTTAAACAAAGTTGTCAGAGTTCATTGAAGAGCAATTACTTTTGCTGAGCACTTGAAATTAGAGGACGGTTATCTAACAGAGCGATATTTGTGTATTTTCCCACCGAGAAAAATACGACACAATTGTTTTCCCCTACCTACGTGTCTGTAAACAGGGTTATAATATATCCTTAGATTCATATTGTAAGTGAAAATTTCGGTGCAGGCTGCAGAATGATCTGCATCTATCAGATGATATTATCCTTTTACTTGCTCGTCTTGCGGCTCCAATAAAACACAGTGAGGGATGAAACTAATGATCCAATTTAGAGGAAAACCTAGAAATTAAATATGGGATATCTATGTATCCATCCATCCATCCATCCATCTATCTATCTATCTATCTATCCATCCATCTATCCATCTATCTATCAAAAGGTTTTTGCAACACACGACTTATTTCTCTGTCCAGTTCAAGCACCTCAAATGGTCATTTTGAGTTAAATAATTCTGTGCCTTTTCCTTCCTAAAGAATAAACATAAACATGCAACAAAAAAAACTAAACAAAAAAAAATTCAACAAAATCATACAAGACATAATCAAGACATAAACAATGGAGGCGGTGGTGGCCTAGTGGTAAAGGAAGCGGACTTCGGTCCGGAAGGCCCCAGGTTCGAATCCACCAACTGCCAGGTTGCCACTGAGATGCGTCCTCAAGCACTGCTTCCCACTGTTCACTTGGTGATGGGTGAAATGCAGAGGATAAATTTCGTTGTGCAGGGTTGGGTTAAATTGGTGATGGTGATGGGTTGGTGATGGGTTAAATGCAGAGGATAAATTTCGTTGTGCATGGTTTGCTGTGCTGTGCTGTGTCACAATGACAAATAATCATATCTTATCAAAATCATATCAAAATAATCATATCTTCTGGTTGAAATAAAAAAGAAAAGCTATCAAAAACAACAATCTGAAAACTCAACCTGCAACCTCTCTTTTTTGGGATATTCTCCCTCCCTCTGACCACCGGGCCATAAATGAACTTACACAACACAGTCTGTTTGGCTATTGGCCTACAGGGCTGTGCAGGGCAGGAAGGGAATCATTCACTGTAAACTGAACAAGGACTAGCTTCCTCTGGGAGTCCCTGAGCCTGACAGCAGCCAAGATCCCAGATACATGCAACACAACCCACTCTACTGCACACACACACACACAAACACAGATCAGTGCATACACACCCTGGAACTAGGACACATTCTCTCATCTGTTACTCGTCTTCCTTTCCTCAATTCTGTCTTTCTTTACTCTCCCTTCCTGTCTGTCTCTTAGTTTCCAACCTCCTTTAACCTTTGTCTGAAACTTTTTGCTTTCCGCTTTTCATTTTCTACGCTTTTTTTTGTCCTACACTTTTAACCTCCTAATCTTGCAGTAATTAAATTTCTTTTTCTTTCTCTGTGCTGATATACATTATTGTCCTTTTAGAACTGGACAATTTTAGGTTTTCACAATTTTGGAAACCCCAAGAAGACAAAGAGGAATTGTTTACAAAAAATAATTTGTAATACAGATAAACTAATTTCATAAAAATGTCACTGAATTCCCCAGGCTGCTCTCCTCCACCCCTCGGTGCTCCTCTGCCTCCCTCTTCCTGTTCTGTGGCCTCATTTTGAAAACAGAGATGCTTTGTCAGTACAGTATGCATGATATACCATTAATCGTTCCCAACAAGCACATGCTCACACACACACTCACAATGGAAACAGGGATGCATATCCGTCAGCTGATCCAACAGGAACTGCTGACACTGGTCTGAGAGGAAGACAGCGAGGGTGAGGGAAACCAGTGTGACAGCAAAAGCACCAAGGAGCGATCTGGCATCCAGAGATTTGTCCGGATGCTTGTGGTCGTCCCTGCAGCAACTGCTTTCCCAATGCGCGATTTGTGCTGCATGGACACATTCTGATGGGGCTCCAAACATGCAGCTTTGGCAAATGGTATTCATCAACCGATAGACCCTATTGGGATTCAACCACAAAACACAAAGGCAAAGTGAATACAGATCCAATTGTTTCAGAGTTTAGAGAATAATGATGGAGACTGCAGTTGTAAATATTACATTTCGGGGAAAACGTGAAAAATTATTGGGGGGAAACTGAGCCTTTCAGGGTCACAAAGTCTCAAAAACACCAGGAGGTCATGTCAGCTGACAGCAGCAGATCCCGGCCTACTTTAACTGACCCTTCCCTATGTATTTAGTTGGTAAAATCACACTCTGTGTCCCATTTAGCAGCGTTACCTTGTGGTGTCATTGGTGCCTGCTCTGATTTGTGCTTTCTATAGCAGCTGCTACTTCCTGTCCTTCTGCATGTTTACAGGGAAAGTAAGGCGAGCAGGAACGTAGTTAGTGAGAGTGAAAGTGAACTACTTGTCACTGTGACACAGCACACAACCAAATGTGACCTCTACATTTTAGACGGTGCCATGCTCTGAGCACCTCAGTGGTAACTTAGCAGCTGGTGGACTCGAACCTGGAATCTTCCGGACCCGAGTTCACTTCTTTAACCACCAAACCACCAAGCCCCCCCTTAAATTAAGACAAATGTTCGTTTAACAAAAACAGCATTTTGAAATGACACATTTGGTTTAACACTGAAATTAGGTCATATGTATAGGTTATGTGGTTAGCATATTAGCTGCTAAAAGAAAACCTAGTGTGATGCAACTGTTCTGGTAAATTATACCCCAGAAAATATGAAAACTATTAAAAAGTAATAAAAGAAAAGATGACATTAAACAATATTTAAAGTTGGGTCTTAATATTTAAAAAGTTAAATAAAAGTTTTGTTAACCTATGGTGAATATAGGCAAAACTTAGCATAGCTTGACTTCACTCTGTTAGCACTCACAACAGCTAAAAGTTATGTAAATGTGAAGATCCTTTATCCAAGAAATAATTTAGGACATTACAGCAAACACAGAGTTAGCCAATAGCTCTGAAAAATAGTGTAGCCAAAAAGATAAAGGTAAACACAGAAGCAAAGGTCTGATGGCCCAAGAGTTTTCACAAATGATCTTGTGCTCAGAGGAAATGTTCTAATGGATGAACAGACAAATGAAATATTAGAAGAAAGTTTTTGGCCGTACTAAAGCCATTGAAATGATTTGATTTGTGTTCGGATACAAAACAGAAACACAAAGACATAGAAGCATCAGGCACTTCTCCCTGAAACACCTGCACTTAATACCTGGACTCAAGTCTGCTCTCTGTATACTCTCTCTCTCTCTCTCTCTCTCTCATAGGGAGATATCACACGCACACACTGTATCCCTTTGTGACTTCATAAATCACAGCTTGTGCTTCCGCAAAAATATGGGACAACTGTCATCCATTGTTTCGGAACAGACACACACACACACACGCACAGCATGTTCCAACCGGAAACGGGGCTGTCTCCTCAGCTGTGATGTCTCACACACTCAACTACTCACACACACAGACCAACTGCAACGATGACGCTGTCAATGATTAAAAATATCTTCAATGGAAGTGGACGACAATAATAGGCCTTTCAGGGTGAAAATTTGGTCTGGGAATGAATTCCCTTCCATTTTAACATAAGCCATTTGCTCAGACTAAAAGCTGAGATGAGACATGAATTCTGGAGAAGTTGATTGGCGCCTGCAGTATGTGACCAAAATTGGTGTCAGTGACCTTTTGTCTCCACAAATGTCACCAGCTGCTCCTTCACGGAAAACAGCCGTTAGTGCGTCTTTCTAACTCTCGGTGACGTTGTCCACTTCCTAAGAACGTCAGGAGCAGAGGAAATAACCTTCTGTTCGATTGTTGTAGAAACAGTCACCACTGTCCTTTCAAAGTGAAAATAGAATCCAAGGCGCCCGACTTTATGAGGTTCATTGTTAAAAAGACTCGCTATCGGTTGACAAACAGCTCTGGAATTGGAACACAACCTTTAGAGCAGGGGTCACCAACCTTTCGGAAACTGAGAGCTACTTCAAGGGTATTTGGTAATACGAAGAGCTGCTTGTCGGACACAGACTTCCTGAACAACGTAATAATAATTAAAAAGAAAACTAATGTTTCACCGTCAAGTTCTGGGACATACAACAGCAGACACTCTTCTTACCATCGTAAATCACCCATTTGAATATCAGTGAAGTCTAACTGATTCAAAGAGCACAGGAACAGTACAATGTTTGACCCTGTTGTTGACTAGTTTTATACTACTTGGGCACCTTAAGTAGTCCACGTGGGCTACCAAATGAATACGCATGCAAACAGATAGTTTAGTATAATTGATGCAATTTAAAAATGTATAGTAACTAAAAAATTGAAAGATTAGGCAGATTTACATTGCCTCCCCATGAGGGGGCGACATCTGCTATATTCGATTGCCTTGTTTTTTAAAAGTCAATGGCAATAATATCTTCCTTTTTTTAAAAGAAAGATGCATGTAACTTTGTTGAGAAGTATAATACATGAAAACATGCTAATTTGATTTTAATTGTTGCTATTTTGTTGAATTTGTTTTGTTTAAGGACTGGGGACTCATATATGACATAAACATATGATAGACATATAGACATATGATTAACGCCTAATATTAATATGTTTTCTGTTCATACAGTGTGATGCAAAACGTTTCTGGACTTGATTTGGACCATTAGGAGTCCAGTGACCTAATTACAAATCTATGTCGATGAACACACACTTAGCGAGCCATTTCTATGAAAAACTTCCCTTTAAAGTAGAGACAAGAAAGACTTGTGTGTTTGTGTGTGTGTGCATGAATGTGTGTTATTTGGCTCTCAAAAGAGGCCACTCCGGAAGTACAAAACAGAAACTATGACTGTATAGGTGTCAAGGACATGATGCAAAAGGCATGACAATATCCTCTCTCCGTTTCCCTGGATGTCGCCATGGAATAATTCTTTTTCTGGCACTGATTGCGTAGGCAGAGCCATTACACCCACTTTGTGCCGCCAGGTCTTTCTCTGGGAAAAGAAAATGTCAGAATTTAACCTCTTATCTCTTCCTCTTTCCCCTTCCTGTCCTTCAGAACATGAAAAGAAAAAAAAATATTTGGAGCAGGATGGAGACTTAACCAACAGTTCAGGACTATTTATGGTAAATACTTCACATTCCATGCACCTGGAATATCTGTGTCTGTCTAGCTGTGGTTGTGACCATGTCATCGCAGGATATTGAAACTTCCTCTCTCCTGTCTTTTCTTCTCTCATTCACTCATCCATTTATGTTTTGTCTCTACATCCTCTTGTTTCTGTTTTTAGCCCACATCCTTTTCTGTGTGTTAGCACTCAGACCAAAGACGTTGCTAAAATAGTCTTCAAACATGACTGCAACTTTTGAAGTGGCCCATTGTTGTTTGACCTGAGCAGAGGAGGAGGTGACGTAAGGGTGAGGACGGGGATCAGCGAGGAAGAAAAGGGGCTAGAAAAGGAACCTATAAAAGTTTTTAAAAAAAAGACAAAAATTGGAATGAACATAATTAATCAAATAAAAATGGCAAAAACAAAATACTATCTCTTAATGAAAGGCTGTCTTGGTTA